CAGCTGGTGATATTTGAGTTCTCTTTATCTACAGAAAGACAAGTCAGTCCTTTGTGAGGCTACTTTTAATAGAAAAAAAGCCTTGAGGCCCAGAATATAGTCCCTTAAAGGTCTGATAGATAAGAACTCCCTCCCACCCAGAGATAGACAAACCAAGGCCAGCCAATTTATCTGGCTGGGGCATGGGAATATGGAGGTTTCTGTCCTTTATTACCCTCTGGGATGCATTTGCATTAAACAGTGTCTTTATATTATCTACATCACCACAAACCAGACAACTTCTACTGTTATTTAAACAAAACTTCCACATAAAATGTTTTAGAAAGGGATGTGATTTTGAGAGTCACCGCTGCTACTCAGCAACATCCACATTCAAGCCCTCACTGCTGTTTGTGATAGTACACCTTTGTCCCGGTCACTGCTGTCTCTGAAACAGTGGTGAGCGGCGTTACTCCCTGGCTATGCTTGCAGGTAAGCTCTGTTCAATACCTGTCCAGCTACACCTGCTGCTCACACCCCTTCCCAGTAACAAGTAATTTTTGTGGATTCTGAGACAGGAGTTGTATGCAGTCAGTGTCATTGTAGCGATGTCAGTTCCAGGATGTTAGAAAGACTAGGTGGGTGAGGTAATAGCATTTATTGGACTAGTTTCTGTTGGTGAGAGAGACAAGCTTCTGAGGTACACAAAGCTCTTCTTCAGGTCTGGGAAAGGTAGGCCCAGCATCACAGCAAAATGCAAGGTGGAACAGATTGTTTAGCACGTATTGTAAGGGACCGTTCAAGGTAGAGTGGCCCATTAACATCTCTGCAGTCATAGGACAAAAAGAGGGGGTTAGCAGGTTACAGATTCTTGTAATAAGACATAAATCTAGTGTCTCTGGGCTTGGTTACACTTGCAGATGTAGAGCGCTGGGAGTTAAACCAGCCTTCGGAGACCGCAGCAGGGAAAACGCTGCCGTGTGTTTACACTGTCAGCTGCAAGCGCACTGGCGTGGCCACATTAGCAGCTCTTGCAACGCCACAAAGAGCAGTGCATTGTGGTAGCTATCCCAGTGTGCAAGTGGCCGCAACATGCTTTTCAAATGGGTGAGGGGTGGAGTGTGACAGGGAGTGTATTGTGTGTATGTGGGAGGAGAGACAGTGTGTTTTGGGGGGGCAGAGAGTGTGTCAGCATGCTGTCTTGTAAGTTCAGACAGCAGCAGACCCCCCCCACCCACACACACACACACACTCACTCACAACAGCAGCATTCCACACTAATGGTTTCTTTGTCCCGGAGCAGATAAGCATGCCGGCTGTCAGAAATGGAGCTTTGAAAGGGGATATCTGCATCCTGCAGCCGATTTCAAAACAATGAGAAGAGTGGCCGCTTGACTTCAGAGGATTATGGGATGTTTCCAGAGGCCAATCACAGTGCAGTACTGCAACACCTTATCCACACTGACTCCCGGGCGTTTCAGCCAGGGCGCAGCAAGCTTTATGCTTCTCTTGGAGGTGGATTACCAGGAGCGCTCCAGCTGCAGAGTCCAGGCACTCTACGTGCCTTGCCAGTGTGGACACCTCAGGAGTTAGGGCGCCCGGGGCTGCTTTAATGCGCTCTAACTTGCAAGTGTAGCCAAGCCCGCTGTTCAGCCATGATTTTTAGCGTCTAGCAAAGTTATGAATTTAAGCTCCCAGGACAAAACACAGGAGAGCATGCTGTGAGGAACAATCAATTTTACATTCGCCCCAGAGCAATAGACGAGGGGTAACATTTTTACTAGATGTTTAAAGGTATTTCGGCCCCTAAATATGCATGTAAGTGCCTTTTGGGATTTTCAAAAGCCCCTAGGTATCTAACTTCCATTGATTTCATTGACTTTCAAAAAGACGTAGGCTCCCAAGCCCTTACATCACTTTTGAAAATGGGACTTAGGCACCCATGTCATTTCCCTCAGGTCTTTTCTCCAACTCCTCTGGTGTTTAATTGCCAAGTAAGGAACAAACTAAGTCCAACCTGCATTTTGGAGATGGGAGGAGGTGCACGACATGAGCAGTTGTGCAGGGAAGCACTATGCATCCATAACAGGAGCAGGATCACTGACCAGGGCATACCCACTAGCTGACCATGCCCTCTCCCGAGCAGAGCCATTCCTTGGGTATGGCGAATCGGGCGACCACTCCGGGCCACGCACTTCAGTGTGTGTGTGTGGTACTAGGCCGGCCCAGGGAGGGTGGGGTTAGGGATGCCTTGCATTGCTTTTTCTTGCTCGGCATCGTCAGGCTCCGGCTCAGTCGGTGGTAGCGACAGCAACAACCCCAGCCCGCCCCACCCCGCCGGCTCCCAGCGTTGCCCGCTGCCGCACCAACAGCGTCCTAGTGCCACCAAAACACGCCAGCGCCAGGCTGACCCCATCCATTGCCCTTCCACTCTGGACCCCTCCCTTTTCCGGAACCAGCCAGCACAGGGGGCTCCCTTGTCCCTAGGACAGGTGACACCCTAGGACTCTCCATTGTCCCTCGCCCCCAGCACTTGGGTCCCCTCCACACACCAGACTTCACCTGTATAAAAAATGTTAAGGGGGGCCCATACAGGCTGATTTGTCCCAGGCCCCGCACCCCCCTAGGGACGGCCTTGCTCCCCAGTATTATCATCCAGATACCTGCCAATGCACAAAGGGAATAGCCCCTGTCCACTCCGGGCTGCTAAGTGCTGCCAGCACTAGCACCATCCTCCTATGCTCCGCAAGGGCAGGGGGGCAAATTATGGCGACCTTGGAGCAGAAGCACCAGTGAGAATGGGGCTCCTTGCACTTTCTCCTTTGCCTCCATGGTGCCCTCAGGCAATTTGTCTTTTAACACTTTATTCCCAGGCTAGTAACTTTTCTGCCTGGAGTTTCATTGTGCTTCCTACACACCCATCAGCCTGAACCCATCCTCTTTCTCACCAGGACATTTACAGCCACGTTATGCAGTAACTCTTGGTCCTTCACATCCATCACCCCAGGATTTGGTACTGGCAGAATTTGGCTTAACCAACTGTCTTTCAGCCTCAGAGGGTCCCCACTTCTATTACATTGCTGGCCAGTATGATGCATTGGCCCTTCCCTTCCTCACAAGGTACTCTCTTTACAGAACCCCAAATCATCAAGCAAGAGAAGGATGGATTTCTACCAAGTTGTTACAGTGGGGCTGGTAACACCCATATAGTTAAGATTGAAACTAGCTTACTGTTTAACAGGATTTTGTCAAGCTGGGCCTTAAAAACCTCTAAGGATGGAGATTACACCACCTCCTGATGTAACACATTCCAGTGCTTCACTGCCTGCCTAGTGAAATAGTTTTTCCTAATATCCAACCTGGACCTCCCGCACTGCAACTTGTTCTGTCATCTGCCACCACTGAGAACAGCCTAACTCCATCCTCTTTGGAACCCCCCTTCAGGTAGTTGAAGGCTGCTATCAAATCCCCCCTCACTCTTCTCTTCTGCAGACTAAATAAGCCCAGTTCCCTCAGCCCCTGCTCCTAAGTCATGTGCCCCAGCCCACTAATAATTTTCGTTGCCCTCCGCTGGACTCTCTCCAATTTGTCCACATGCTTTCTGTAATGGCAATGCTCCTACTAATGCAGCCCAATATGCTGTTAGCCTTCTTGGCAACAAGGGCACATTGTTGACTCATATCCAGCTTCTCGTCCACTGTAATCCCCAGGTCCTTTTTTGCATAACTGCTGCTTAGCCAGTCGGTCCCCAGCCTGTAGCAGTGCATGGGATTCTTCCATCCTAAGTCCAGGACTCTGCACTTGTCCTTGTTGAACCTCATCAGATATCTTTTGGCCCAATCCTCCAATTTGTCTATGTCACTCTGGACCCTATCCCTACCCTCCAGCATATCTACCTCTCCCCCCCAGCTTAGTTTCATCTGTGAACTTGAGGGTGCAATCCACCCCATCATCTAGATCATTAATGAAGATGTTGAACAAAACTGGCCCCAGGACCGACCCCTGGGACACTCCGCTTGATACCGGCTGCCAATTAGACATTGAGCCATTGATCACTATCCCCTGAGCCTGACGATCTAGCCACCTTTCTATCCACCTTATAGTCCATTCATCCAATCCATACTTCTTTAACTGTACAGGGGCTGGCCAGCTCCAGGCCTCTGGCCCTTTAAGGCATAGGCCACCCTACCCCAGTATCTTTTAAGAGCTGATAGTTCAAATTGCTCTAAAAGCTACATGCATACTCAGATTATTTTGAAAATTGCTATGCCTTGTCAGAGCCAGGGATAGAGTGAGTGGTGCCAGTCTGAGATCAGTTGGCCCAGTGGTTCTTCAGGCACCGCCCCCTCAAGAAGGAGCTGATTTTAATATTCAGATTGCTCTAAAACCCATGTGTGTAGGGAGATTATCTTGAAAACTGGTATTTCACAAGAGAGGCTGACGTAGATCAAAGTTGGGGTCATTTAGTCAAGCGGTTCTCAAATTACAGCCCATTTACACTGAGCTGGCCATACCAATTTCAGATTCTTATAGCGTTTTTGATGCAGAGCTAGGGAAAATTCACACCCCAACCTTAACCTCAGCATTAAGGTTTTTGGGCGGTGAATAATCAATAGAGTTCCTACGCTGCAGACCGTCTTCCTTAGACCCTAGTAATTGCCACTTTCAGTCTCTAGGTGGCTCTGTAGGTAAGGATGCCTTTGTGATGGAGAATTATTGAAAACAGCCATTGCGCCCACTGTTGCTTAGCTTATGCGTAGGCTGATGGGATATCAGGTTTTGTACATGTTAGTGGAGGGAAAAATAGCCTTTTCAGTCCTCAGGATTTCTTTTCCCACCAGGTTTCTGTCAAATCCACTTCTTTTCAAACAGTGCTGTAATAACTACAGTAGCATGTGGCAGTGGGATTAGCTTCTCTGTACTGCCTAAGAGTGTAGCTAATGCACAGTTAAAATCTCTCTCCTGCTATCGCTGGAACTGGAAGCTCCATTAACATTGCAGATTTTAGCATAAATTGGCCATCAGGATTAATGAAGCATTTAATAACGGAATCATAAACATTATCGATGGAAAAGGTCTGTTAGAGCTTAACTCTGTGACTCAACTGCACATCCTTGGATGATCTCACGAATACAACCACAGGGCCCGATTCTCCTCTCACAGTGGTGTAAACCAGGAGTAACTACACAAACCAATGGAGTGACACCGGTGCAGAACTGCAGTCAGGGTGAAATTCACTCCTGTGCACAGGGCCAAGGGGACTTAGGCTGTGAATATGCCTGGTGCTGACCCTGTACTCAGAGGTGAAATTCACATTCAGTGAGGAAAAGGAAGGGCCTCCCCCTCTCAAGATGTGAGATCTTGTTAAATCATGGTAAGATAAATGCCACAGATATTCTAGTATAGCCCTTCTTAGATGCACATTCCAACACAAGACCCACTCCCCGCCCCTCCCACAGACACGCTATATTCTCGGGGCCAGATCATTTTCCTTGACTCCAGTGGTAATTTTGCCTGAAAAAGGACTGACTGCAGGATTTGGCTCATAGAAGGTGACCAGAGAATCTGTCTTTGCAATGGCTTTCTAGAACGGAGGACAAAGATAGATAAGCGAACTTTATTGCCCATTTAGAATGGTTTGTAATGGGCAGTTTGGGTTTTAGGATTTGCTTCTTGCTGAATGAGCATTTCTTTCTTTGCATTAGCCACACAGCAGACAAAGTGTTAGGAACAGTGGAGGCAGTGCTCCTTTATCTGAAGTTATCTTGCCTTTTCTTAACATGAAATATAATCCATAAAAGTGGATAAATATTAATAGCGTCTTGGCCGAGAACCCAAAAGGGCAGAAGAGGAATTTCCTCTTGCTGTTTTTCAGAAAGCTTTGAGAGGCAGTCTTAGCGCAATGCAGTCACGCCCCCCTCTTCCCACCCTCCAACAATACTCCTGGCTGGTTCTGATGTTCATCCTCTAGGATTTTACAGCAGAAGGAAGGGAGGCTTCCCGTGTCTCTCCCTGAGGACAGTGGAAAAAGAAGTGAGACCTGGGCTCGCACTGCATTTTAGTCCTTTCACACACAGTTCGATGCTGGCGAAAGGTGCCAAATTGCAGCGCCAACCTAAGGGCTATCCCTCCGCCCCATCCCATCCCAAGTGTGGAGGAACTGTGCCAAGTAGTGTAAAGGAGAGAATCTCTTCTCTCAAGCTTCTCCCCCTTTTCCTCGCAAAGTGCTCTGATAATGTAACCCAGTAGCTAGGGATGAAAGCTTGCCACAGACTTTTGGCTTGAAGATCACAGGTTACCCCGGGGTCCTCTATACACCCAGACCCAGGACTGGTGCATTGGCTCAGAAAACCATGGCCACAGGTCCCTCAATTCTAGAGCGAATCTCCGAGGAGCTCATGGCTCTCGGGGGCTGTGGCATCCCAGCTGCCCCTGAGGACATGAGCGGGCTGCAAACCAAGCCCTCTCCTGGATAGTGTGGTATCTGGCTGCACACAGGGGCAGCTAAGCAGTGAATTAGGTACAGGACTGAGACCAGGGGTCTCTTGCATTCTAAACCTGGCTCCAACACCAACTCCCTCTGATCTAGATCATTTAACCTCTCTGCCTTAGCTCCCCCGTCTGTTAAATTGGGTAACAACAGGTAACTATCTTGCCGGATGTGTCGTGATGATTAAGTACATAGGACAACATTTTGGGACTCTGACCTACATCACTTAGGCATTTTTGAACATTTTACCCTTAATATATTACTATATATCCAGGGTGAAATACTGCCCCTGCTGAAGTCACTGAGAGTTTTGCAGTGGGCCAGGATTTCACCTTAGGTATATGGCAAAATTCCTGAATGAGCACAAAGCCCCTCCAGTAGCTAGAAACCAGGCTCCCAGAGTCCTGCCTTCTTTGGATAACTGTCTCTTACAAAACTTTCTGCAATGTTGGTGACTATGTACAGTGGCAGGACAAACAGCTGGGTTCCACGTTTGCAGCAGGAGGCTGGGGTAACCTTCTGATTTCCACCATGACCACCCACAACACAAACACTCCACATGTCAGAAGCCAGTTAAGTTTGAAGTGCACCCCAAAGAATCCTCTCTCTAACTCTTCTGCAAATCCTCCATCCTGCTCTGTGCACTGGAGTGAAACCCTGGTTGCACTGGGGGGGAGGGGCAGCATAAAAACTTTTCACCAACTCACCCCCAAACTGCTCTGGCTAGTTTTGTCAAATCCACACTCCTGGAAGGAATTTATTTATCCACAAAACAGGTAGAGCACAGGTTGCAGCAGTGTACGTTTCTCTTACGCCACACCACCAATGTGCCTCCATTAATCTGGAGAGACCACCTTTAAAGCAGTACATTCTTTATGGCCCATTCCATCCTCAGCCTCTCAACTGAGTCTGCTGATTAAGGTTTTGTAATATGGGCATCTTTCTCTGAGGAACTGGAGCCATCAACTCAATTCACACGGGCCATCAGAGCCATCAGATGGGAACCAGTTTTCAGTTGTTCCAAAAATACAAGCTTTGCCTAGATTTGAACCATTGACCTAGAGTTAAAGGCTGCCCCACTGCCAGTCCCCTGAGTCATCCTGTCCTTTTGGCACACTGGAGTTGGATAGGATGTGAATTCCCTTACTTGTTGGGCTCCCAGTCCTGTTCCAGAGACACAACAGTAAAGAAAACAAGAATCAATAGCGACCTGTGTCCAAGAGTTAAAAGAGAATGGAGGAAAAATAAATACCAGCTTCTAATACCTCAGGTAAACTCCCATTTGATCTACTGTATTGGAGCTACAGAATTCCCTTCTGTCCCATCACCATTCAGTCACAATTTATCATTCTAGTGGCATTTCTTGGTCTCTATGTGTGTTTCTATCTGTCCAAAAGCAAGACACTTCAGGCAAACTTGTTCCCTCTTTGATTGCTTTATAAGGGCAATGTCTTTGGTTTTAAATTTCCTGATCTTGTCCGATGTTATAATGACCCACAGGAAACAGCCCTATGTCTTGCTGTCGTGTTCCAGAGCCTATCATTGAATCCCCACAAGTTCAGTTATTGGGGGTGCATTAACCATCAGTTCCTCGTAACGGTGTAGGAACAGTTGTAGTCGGGACATATAGGAGTCCTCGTTGTATGGCAGCTTCTTCTTTTTCAGGTACTGGGAGACTATGGGCTTGATCTAAAAGGGAAAGGTAGTATTAAAATGGCACAGTAAATTCTAATGATGATGACTTACATTTGTACAGGGCCTTTCCTCCAAAGTGATCATTAAGTCCTTTGAAAACTATGCATGTAGGAATCATATTGCCTACTGCCAAAATGTAGCCAACTCTGGGGTGGAATGCAAAAACTGCTTAACAGTAGCTAACACTACACAATGGCTTAACTCAGAGAATGAAGATGAATACAGTATCCAACTCGAGCAGCAAAGGGTTCTCTTGTCATAAGGGCCAGATAACCACAAGGGCTCACTACTTTGATCTTGCACCTGATCTGAAAGCTAGGATCTCCGCCATCCTTCCCTCATACCATGCTGGGGCACTGGTTCAATATTGGCACAGAGGGAAGAGTGCCACCTACTGAACTACCAACATCAACTTTTGCAGCACCTGAAGGTTGGTTTGTTTGTTTTTTGAGACCTCCCAAGCCTGACCTTGCTCATCTTGTGAGAGCTGACAAGGACACTGCCTTGAGTTGGTATCACAGTAGCACCATGTCTTTATTGTTACTAACACCAGAAGTATACATGGGACTGTAAAATTAGTAAATGGTGTCAAACAAACACAGTGTAGAGATGTGCCTGGACTGCAAAGTTTAGCTCCAGATCTCAGCTTTCCCAAAATTTCAGGGTGTTTGGATCTAGGGTTTTGGTTGGAGCCTACATCTAATACACTGCAAGTGGACGAATGAACACAATACAGGTCAACCATAGCAGGTGTATGATGATTATAGCTGGAATTATTCACAGATTAGGCGGGGCTTGAAAAGCTTTCCCAGGAGAGGTGGGACTTTGCTAAACACTAACTGGAAGGCTGTTACAATAATAAAGCACAAAGTCAAGAATGGAGGAAGGAGACAACGGAAGAAGGTTGGAGAGAAGATTGACTAGAGTGTGGGGAGGAAGAAGTGGAGTGGGAGAAAGTGAGGACAGAGATCTAGTTAGAGTTGGAGTTATGGAGTGTTCTGAAAATGGGAAGGAGTCTAAAATTAATGAGGAAGAAGAGGGTAAGCCAGTGCAAAGAGAAGAGTGCAGAAGCATGGTCAGAACTGCAGGTTAGGGAAAGAGGCTTACCACCTACATTTTAGTTAACTGGAAGGGGGAAACACACAAACTTATCTCCTCATTACCTCTTCCCATGCTCATCAATCTTCTCTATGCTAAATGGCACTCCCCCTCCTATCCCCCTCCCTCCACACACCTTCTGGATATGCCCTCCTTTTATCTTACCTTCAGGCACATGTTGTCAGAGAGGTTTGGGAAGAGGTGATGCTCCACATGGCAGCTGATGATTGAGTGCCCAAAGGACCAGTCCAGCAGGGCATTCCGGGGCAGATTCAGAACTCCAAGGCTCATCAGGTGAATCCGCTTGGGCTTCTTATCAGCCGAGAACATCGGGAGGCCAATGTGCTACAAGACAAAACAGGAAGACTATGGCATCTCTTCCTACAGCAGGCAGATAGGGAGCAGGGCTTCCTGAGGACAAGGGTGGAATCCAGCTGTCAGGCCAGGGCAGAAGAGTGGCAGTTTCTTGAACTCCTCATCCTTTTCTGTACATGATCTTGTGAGTCTCCTCCTTTATGGGGATGAGGAGTCCTCATAAAAGGTAACAGGCTAGTGCCATCAACTGGAATGCTCTAGTTTCCCACTCACTATTTACGAGTCAAGCATGGTGTGGAAGCATTCACACACTGCTCCCCGCACATTATCCCAGGGCCACCCATTCATGGCACATAGAAAAGAAGCTTCTGTGTCAGAGTCCAATGACACCACAGTAGCTTGGAAACACCAGCGGCTTCAGAGGGGTTAACCTGCCTAAATGTGATCAGAATCCGGCCATCTATATGCATTTCATCCTAGGCCTGTCAAGACTGATCTATCAATGAATCCCCAAGGTGCGAGGACCACCCACTTTTGTGGTTCTATGCTCATTCCATCTTTCCCAAATGCACCTGGATTTTAAAGTAACATCTTCTCTTAGCGTGGGAAGGGGCCAATTCTGATCCCATTTACACCTGTATAAAACTGGATAAATTCCACTGAACTCAGTAGACGTGTTCCATTTTTACACCACTGTAATTAAGATCAGAATCCAGCCTTCTGTGTTCATTCTGTCTCAACTTTCTGCACACTGCTATGCCAACTGACATCAGTCTCCTCGACATTTTGGATCTGAGTCTAATCCGATGTGAAATCAGTGCAACTGAGATCAGAATCAGGTTGTTTGTCTTAAGTTTCTAGACGCTTCAATTGCCAAAGTCAAAGTGAGAGCTATTTAATTAATACAGGGAGCTTTGCTTTGTTTTGTTTCCAAGGACTTTGGTACAAGCTGGAGTTTGTAGCCTCTACCTGGAAGATGTTAACATGGATGTAGGGGTGGGCAAGGAGAGATCGTGTGATCAACATGCAGATGAGGGCAGACCACATTGATTGGAACCCTGAGACATTGACCAGGAGCCAGTAATGGGAGTAGAGCCCAAGAAACATGCAGCAGAGGGTCCGGAGAGCTGTTTTCAACTCAACATCCTTCAGCAAACCTATGAAAGAAAGAACAGACAACGTGTAGGGCAGCAGTCAACCCCTCCCCACATCTTCCAGGTTACCCATCTGGGGAATAATGCTGTAGTGCTTATATTCTAAATCCCAGGATAGGCACTGGTCAGTCACTATGTACAAATTCGAGGAGCACCTGATCCCAGACCCACTTCAACACCTAAGGTTCCACTGGCTTTCAGAAAATTTTTGACCAGTGTCACCAAGGGAGCTATAGGACATGGATTTGTTTCTGGTTTAACTTGATTATTGTTCTAGTCCTGAGACAATTTATGGGTCAGATACTGAAGACCTTACTAAGCTTCAGCAGTCCTTACTCGGGTGAAATCCCCCACTAAAGTCAATAGGCATTTGCTTGAACAAGGACCGAGTAAAAATTAATTCTGCAACTCTTACTCATGCTGAGTAGCACTCACCCAAGCGAGCAGTCTCATTGACTGAATGCTACCGCTACTGTGCAATATGAGTTAGGGTTGCAGAATCAGGACTTAAATAATGACCTCAGAATTTGGTCCTATATATGATTTTTCTGCAATCAATTAGCAGCTGTTCACTGCCCATGGTTGTGTGTTGGCCTCCTGTAGACTGAAGAGCTTCCATACACTATGAACGTTGTATTTCCCCAGTTATCATCTGGTCTCTTCTTCCAATGTCTGCACCACCTCATCCCATTCTTCCCAATGAGGCCATCTTCTTACACTTCCTAGCACTGACACCAGTACACTTCAAATATTTTCCATCCCTTTCATTCATTATATTCCAGCCTAGCATGCCCCTCACCAATCCTACATACATCTAAGTAAGGACAACAGGATCTGGCCTGGGTAAGGGCTTCAGTGTTTGTATAATGCTTTGAAGATCTGAAGAAGTATATAAAAATCTGGATCCTGTTGTCCTTATCTAGGCAAAATACCTGCTGAAGTCAACGGGTCTGAGAATGGACTGAATTAAAAATAAATAAGGATTTCAGGCACTTGGCCCATTGACTTCAATGTGAGATTTGCCTAAGGTCTTCAGTATTTGACCCAATATATTTAAATACTGAGTTTTTGTGACTGCATTCCATTCTGAATGTAAAATCTGCTTCCAAAAGGATCCCTTTTGTGTCAGTTTAAGAATCAAGAAGCCCCACAGATGGTTGTGGCGAATGCCTTAGTTTTGAGCAGATGGCCCAAAGGACTTCTCCTGCTCCTTCCTACTGTCTGTTATACGCGCTTGTCCTGCTCCTTCCTACTGTCTGTTATACGCGCTTGTCCTGTCTCATCCTAACTTAGATTGTAAGCTGTTCAGGCAAGGGAATGCATTTGTACAGCTCCTAGCACCATCAGGACTGCGGCTTCCATAATGCCGATAATTGTATTTATCTTTTGGGGCCCCTACAAACTAGTTTAATTTTTAGTTTAAAAAAATGTTTAGGTTTTAAACAATACTTATAGAAGAAAAATATCTCAGAGGAAAGCAACATACCAAGTGCCACTAGAGGGGTTAAAATAGGTATAGCAATGGGTGCAATGAACATGTAGACGTATCGGTTCAAGAAAGGAAGCTTCCAAGTACTGGAATCTCCTAGTCTGATAACATTAGTGTAACCGTGGTGGAGTTTCACATGGTTGTAGTATGCCTGCTCTGCTGTGAAAGCCGAGCAAACCTGGAAGAGAAAGAAAGGAGAACGAAATGAAGAACAGCGTGCATGCAAGGATCAGAACATGGCAGGTACACAACATTGTCTCACTGGGATGACCCCACCATAGAGGTTCACACTCAAAGCCTTGTTATTGTCGTGCACTAGGACAAGATATGATATAACTACACCCGAGAAATGCATCTGATGTCATGTCTGCACCACATATGCCTTAAAATGCTATTGAAGCTGCATGATACAAGCATGGTAGATAATTTCTGGAGTTACACAAAGATATGTACTTTACAGCTGACGACAGTACTAATCTCGAAGGTCATTTACCATGATAAGAACATTCCACTTACACAAAGAGTTATTCAGGCTTACTGATCATCAGAGACAGGCTTTAGCCAAAACCCTGAATCAAACAACCCCCAGCTTCAGGGTAAGTTGAGAGTGAGAGGCAGAATTGAGGCTCAGGCCCAGCTCCATTAAGTGATGCATCTAGTGGTCAGGTATACCTTTGGCTGTTCTGAATGTATGAACTCCTACACAGGTAGGAGCTCATGTCTGTGCCCTAACTGATTGGAAAGCTAATTTCTCTTCATTTTGGAAATTCCAATTTTCCAGTGTGGTCTCAGAGTTGATGTATGGCCTTAATATGACAAGAAGATATTATAACAAATCTGTGTTCACTTTTTACTTCCTGGTTATCACTACATTGCATATCAGGGCCATTTGCAATTTTGCAGCACCAGCAGAGATAGAATTCACTTCCTCCTGCTTCAAAAAAGCACAAACTCCTGCCAACTGAGCCAAAGGAGAATCTCTGGGAATCTTCAACAATATAGAGACTACAACACATTCCTGAACAGTTCTGATTCCACCCAGTAGAGGGCAGTGGTGTACATACTTAATAGCCAGCAGATTGCAGTGCTCATTCTATCTATACCGGGGTCGGCAACCTTTGGCACGCGGCTCACCAGGGTAAGCACCCTGGCAGGCCAGGCCGGTTTATTTACCTGCTGACGCGGCAGGTTCGGCCGATCGCGGCCCCCACTGGCCGGGGTTCACCGTCCCGGGCCAATGGGGGTGGCGGGAAGCGGCGCGGGCGAGGGATGTGCTGGCTGCGGCTTCCAGCCGCCCCCATTGGCCCGGGACGGCGAACCGCGGCCAGTGGGGGGCCGGGATCGGCCGAACCTGCTGGGGCAGCAGGGAAAAAAACCGGGCCACACCCGCCGGGG